CTCGGGCGTATACGGTGTCCGCCCGGACACGCGTGTATATGCAACCCTTGACCCGTATTGCACAGTGTTCCAGGCCGAAATACATGCAATAGAAATCTGTCTGAGAATCAATTTGGAAAGGGGGTATAGAAACCGCACCATCTACGTGTTCTCAGACAGCAGGGCTGCACTGCTGGCGCTCCGTTCAGCTCAGGTTACATCCAAGCTGGTCTGGAGCTGCCTTGCTGCACTTATGGAATTGGCATCGGAAAACAGAGTGATGCTCATTTGGGTGCCGGGCCATAGTGGCCATGCGGGCAACGAAGTTGCCGATGAGTTGGCGCGGAGGGGATCTGGGGCTGCCTTTGTGCAGCCGCTGCCTTTCTGTGGTCTGCCTTCTTCCGCCGTGGGGGCCAGGCTTGCCTGCCTACTCGCGGCGGAATGCAGTCGTCACTGGCGGGACACGAAGGGGTGCCGTCATGCGAAGGTGTTTGTTCCGGCGTGCTCCGGCGGATTCGCTGCGGAGTTGCTGGGGATGAGCAGGAGCCGGATTCGCACTATTGCGAATTTCTTCACGGGGCACTGCCCGGTGAAATACCACCTGCACAGGCTGGGGAAGTCGGGCTCCCCCCTGTGCAGATTTTGTGGGGGTGGCGATGAGACCGCCGTGCACATTCTCTGCGACTGTCCGGCACTGGCTGTTCGGCGCCGCAATTGTCTTGGACATGGGTCCCTAAGTGTTCGGGAACTATTGTCCAACTCCCTTAGGGATATCGCCGGCTTTGTGATTGGGACGGGGATATTATAGACGGGAGAGTGGGGTGGCTACAATAAGTCAAAAAATGGCTGCGGTGGCTTGGGGGGATGCTCCTGTCCCACTCGGTTCCCTTGGAATCTACGATCTACGATCTAACTCATGCAACTAATCCTTAAATTTAAGCATTATTTTAGTGCCTCTTTCAATTTTTATTTGGTTTGTTGCAATATATTCAACATTGCTCATCCTAAAGATATTCAACTTTTGAAATATATTCGTATACAAATGAAAGTAATTTTATTAATATAGTACATAGCTAGATTGCTTATAAAAGCGGTTTATTCACTTATTCTAACCAGCTAAAAACCAAATTTATTTTGGATAAACACCAGATTCATGAAAACCGGAAAAATCTAGTTAGTGCAAGCGTTAATAGCGTTGAAACTTAAGTGATACTTGGTAAGCGGAGCTTCTTCTAAGTAGCATGTGTTGATATTGCCAAAACATAATATTAAAATTTTTATGTTAGCATTCATGATTGCCATTGAATAAAAATACAAACCCAGAGTAACGTTTTTAGAATTTCTTATTTTTCTATATTTGATTGTTTATACTTTTTTGCAAAATGTTTGAAAAAGAGATGAGACTTTTTTGTCGAATAAAAAGTAATTCTGTATATACATATATATTCTGTACATATTATAAACTTCAAAATTTGTAACTTGCAAACCAATGATATAATTTCCATTTTTTTTATTCATTATCATATTATTAATTAGAAAGCAACAGTTACAGCAACATAATTCTGTCTAGTTACTATTATATTCTCACCTCATTTCTTATAAAGCAAAGAAATGGAGAAAAAAAATTAGTAGTAAAATTCATATGTAATGAATATTGCACCTCTCAAGTTTTATTTTTAATATAAAAAATCATATATTTCCGCATTCGTGATAAAACCGTATAATACTCGTATGTGTATAAGCGTTTTTTCTTCGTTTTATTTTATAAGATATTTTTTTCTATTTGTAAATCTCGTGAAGTATAGAAAGTTTTTGAAAGTTTCATTTGCATTTCAAAATTAATTTATAAAAATATGTAACTTAATGTAATTTCACAAAAATTACTTTCCAAGGCTGTTTCTTTTCTCTGCAGGGGTTCTATTAATCAATTTAAACATTTCCCTAAATTATTTATATATTTATATTTTTTTTATATTTTTATTATATCTATACATAAATTCTTTACGAATTTACAATAAAATTATTCTTTTAGTTTAATTATTATTTGTAGTTAAAACATTTTAGATTTTTCCTTATTCATTTTAGATTTTGTTTTTTATGTAAGAACTATACAAGACTCTTTTGATTGAGCTATTTTTTTAAAATTATTTATATTTAATAATAATTAATAATGGAATTAATTTAACTTTTTTATGATTTTTTAAAAATTTTTAATAACATTTTAAAAACAAAAAAAAAAATTTTTTTTAAATTTATTTCAATTAATTTTTAATTTTTACGTTTTACAAATTATAATTACTAATGTTACAAATTAGCAATTAAAGTTTTAAATTTTGTAAACTTTTTACATGTTCTGTTTTTAATACCTTTGTTTTAAATATAATTCTTTTAATATTTTATTATTTTATAAAGTTAAATAATTATGAAATATATTATTATATTACAAAAAACTAGTTTTTTTTATAATAATTTAATTCATTTACGCTCATTCTTAATTCATTACGTTTTAATTTAGTTTTTATTTTTTTTTTGATGATTGCGTGTCATTTTTGATAAAAATTACAAAAATATAATTTTTGATCAACCTAATGTTTGTTTTTTTTTATAAAATTTTAAATAATTCGAAATTGTATTAGCGAATTATACTAAAAGACTTCAGTTTAAGTTGTCAATTTGGTATTTTAATGTCTACGTTTAATGAAAGCGTGAAATAGTAATTTTGCATCTCAAGTAATTTGAAAATGAGTATCATAATTTCAAAACTTATTTCAAATTACTGAAATTCCTTTTATTACCATAGCATTGTTATAGAAGACATATTACGTTACATTGTTAAATGAAAAATTAACTTAAAGAATAAGAAGAAGTACCACTTTAATAGAAGAATAGTATAATTTAATAGAATTTAAATGGTATATGGGTTTTAGAACAATTTAAATGGTTTGTATTAAAATTTTTTTTATTTAGTTTTAATTCTTTTTTACTTTAGTTATAAATTTTTTATTTAAAAACAAACAAATTTTTTATCTGTCAAATTATTTTCAGATTTTCCATAATTTAATTACTATATGTGATAAAGTAAGTGAGTTTTTTTTTAAATTAATTTTAGTACCTACCAAAATTTAACTAGTAAATTTAAATAAATATAAAATATCTTATTATTCCAGGTTTAAATATTTTGTATCAGTTAAAAATTATGCTTTTTAGACAATTTAAAAATGACGCTGCGACGAAGCATTAAAAACGCTTCCAAAATAAGTTTTTCGAATCTAAATTTGAAAATGATTAAGAAAACAAAAAAAAAATAAAGTTTTATATTGCCATGTTTTAAAAAAATTTGTATTTGACTGTGTTCATTATTTAAGGTAAAATTAACCAAACTTAAATTTGCTATGATTTTTTGATTTAAGCTCATGTGTCGATGTTTTTGATATGTGAATGTGATCTTAGATACTGGCAAGATGATAGGAAAATCTAACAATATTAACATTTTATTTCTAGCTTTCATTAAAAGTATACTTTTTCTTTGTTTTTAATTCAAACTTATACTCGCTTTTTCTATTTACATAATATTTATATAATTAAATTTTTGTTCAATAAATGTTTGAAAACTAATTAAATTTACATAAATGTTCGTATAATAATTTCTTTTTTTTTTTTTTTAACGTTTTAATTTATTTTTAATAGTAAAAAAAAGTAGCGACGGATATTTTTTTCTTTTGCACAGTTCAATTTAAAGATTTTCGTTTTCTTTTAATATAAATGTTTCGTGTTTTTTTTTAAATTTATGCATTTTTAATTAAAAAGAATAAAAAAATTATGTCTAATAATCTCATTTGTTTTATTTTCTGTGGTTACACATATGATAGGAAAATAAATTTTTTTAAATATATTAAAATTAAAGAATATATTAAGAAAATTAAAAATACTACTGTTATTTTGATTGAAATTTGGCACATTAATATGGAAAATATAAATATTTAGGAATTAATCAATATTAATGATTTTTATTTAATTAAAAAATGCGTGTTTTAATAATATTTATGAATATAATATATTATATTTATGTAGATTCATAATAAGTATGGCAAGTTTGGCACAGTCAACCCTTTTATTTTTTTATATTCCATAAGTTTTTTTTATTATTCTCTGTACTATGGTTTATAAAATGTGGAGATGTATTAAAAATTTCCATTTCACAATGGTTTCGAATTAAAATTGTTTGAGGAAAAATGTTTCTTTTTTTTTTGAAAAATTAGCGTTTTTTTAATTAATCAACAAAAAATATATTGGGAAATTGCTAAGTAAATAAAGATCAATTAAGAATGTTTGATAAATATTAGAGATATTTCATATTACTTAGATTATTTATATTATAATTTTCAAATTATTTGTTTAAAAATAATAAATGCTTTATTCTTTAATAATATTATAGAAGTAAAAGTTTTATAAATGAGAGAATTTATAATTTTAATTATATTATATAATTCACTTTTCTTATCTTTTGCTTTCTTTTAATTTTTTTATACTATATAAGTAGATCTCAAAAAATTAAATATTATAACAAAACACAATACAAATATTTACAATATGTATAATTAATAATTATTAATAGAATAATAATACAGATTTTTGTATATATATATTCATACATCCATATGTATTTTCATAATTTTATTACATTTTTATACATAAATATTAGTTTTACAATAAAAAATACTATCAAGATATATCACAAAGTATTCTTTAATTAAATGATGTGAAAAAATTCTATATCTTTTTTTTAATATTTTATCTTTGTTTTAATAATTATATTTTTTTTATTTTGTTTAATTTATTTTCATTTCTATTGAAATTCGACTTAATTTTGATTTGATATACATATAATTATGTACAGCAGCAATAAATTAATAAATTCTAAAAATTTGTGTAATAATTTCTAAATTTTTATTAAGGAAAATTATAAAATGCTGTGTTCTCTCTTTGAATTTTTATAAAATTTTATATTTGTTGAGTACGAGATATCTTTAATTTACACAAAACCTAAAAAATTAATTTTGAAAACTGAAAAAATAAAATTAATATAAATGTGAAGAAAAATAAAGATTAATTTTTTGTTTCATTGTAATTATGTGATTTGAAATAGTGGCTAGAGTTATTTAAAAAGAATATTTAGATTTTTTATTTAATGAGATAATATAATTGTTTTAATTTAAAAAATAGTTCTAATTATAAATTAATTTACTATGATTTATTAAAATTTTTAATTAAAATTTTTAAAAATTTATCATTTTTTGTCGTTGTCCATTTTTGATTTATCAAGTGATGATGAAACCATACCACCACCATTTGGCGGGTAGAGTTTGTCCAAATAATTCAGTGATTCATTTAAGTACGTCTAAAATGAAAAATAAAAATATATTTACTCTTACGTGTTTTGTAGCTTTTATTTAGTGAGTTTCCTAATTAGGAATAATAAACTCTGATTATTTTTACTTTTGACAAACGTAGAAGTTGATTGTTTTCTGAATTATCTTTTGATAAAAGAAGAAGTTTTGTATGTAAATTTTTGAATGGTTTCTGATTTTCAACTATATTATTTGGTTACTGTTATGGTTAATTTTCTTTCAAATCATCTGACATATTTTTAAAAAACGCTACTTAAACCGAAAATTTGGATTGGATTTCGAGAATTATTTAATTAGCATCTGATTAATTTTAAGTTTTAATTCTTTATTTAATTAAGTGTGTTTAAATAACTTGTGCCTAAAAGTTATTGACCCATATTAATCCGTTGCAAATCAGTAGGGTATTGGTATATTTTATTGCGGGTTTTTTAGTTCAAAACTTTTTTAGATTTTGTTTAATCATGAGACTTATCATGATTAAAAACGAATAAGTTAAATATTCTAGAATAATTGCTTAAACTACCGAAACACCGAAAAGAATGTGAATTGAAAATTGGAAAACTTTAACTTGCTCTAGTTATTTCTGCACTGAAATTCATGTTTCTTTCTAAATTCAAAATTTCACAAAGAAAAAAAAAATCCATTAAAGGAAATCTTTATTAAAATTTAAAAGACCGTTCAATTAAATTTGCATTAACTACTTACAATTTTTAACTTTTTTTTACAATTTATTAATTTAAATAACACTTAAATTATATATTGAATAATTAAATTATTATGAAAAGAAAGTATTTTACCTGAAACGCATGTAAAACAGCCATTATTGCTGGTGATCCAAAACCATGGGTTATTAAAGAAAAATGCGTTAAATGACGTTGTATTGACGGATCTAACAAATGTTGTTGTCTACTTGTATATTGCGCTGTCCTATCTTGACTTAAAACTTGCATTAATTCTTTTGTTACCTTTATAAAAGAAATAGTTTTGATTTAATAAAATACAAAAATAAACTTCATTTTTAAGTTCTTTACTTGTTGTGTATGCATTAATAATTCTTTACGTCTATAAGATTCTTGTGGCTCTGTTTGATGTCTAACAATATATTCGGCTAACTGTCGGGCAGGAAATTCTGTTTCACATACAAAATGAAAATCTTTAGCTAAATGTGTTGCTTCACCTTCTACTAAAGATGTTAATAATGTTACATTAGCGGCTTTTCTTCTACCAGCTGGTAAATTTAAACCAATTTTTTCCAGTTTTTCACGTAAAAGTCGGCCACCATTTTTACTTTTTGCTCTATAATATGTTACACAATATTAAACTTAAAAAGTGTTGTTGTACATATTAAATATTAAAAAATTTAAACATATTTTTAGCTTTAATTCTTTCAAAGAATAAAAATCCTTTAATTCAGATTGATTATTTTATGAGTGCCTAAATAAATATTTATATGATATTATCGTAATGTTATTGATAACATTTTGTCTTAAGATGGTCATTAGTGTATATGATAATTATTTTAAAAGAAAATAAAAAATGAGCATTTCCTATAAGCACCTTAATTCTTTTAAAAATTCCCAATTTGGTTTTTTAAACTTTTTTAGTTGTTCATTATCAGCATAATTTATGTGGTTCGGCAAAATCTGTTCGAAGTTTATTTTTTTTTTTAATTTTCTATAACAAAACGGATTACCATTTATTTTACTTTGTGAAACATATTTCATTTGGTCCACTATAATGGTGAAAATTGTAGTATTTCGATATTATAATTTCATTTATTACTTTACAAAAGTGTTTATGTACATGCACACAACTACATATTTCGATTTTTGGAAATATAAGATAGAATCAACTTAATTTTTTTTTCGTAAAAGTGCTCATTGGAAGGTGTAATGGATATTTTGATAAGCACAGCAGTTCAAAGAGTTTAAAATAACATTACTTGTGTTATTGTTAAACGAGTTCGTGATTTTAATATTTTCTGGGCAATTGATGATTTTATCAATACAATTTGATTTTTTTGTACACCTTTTTAAAAAGATTTTTGAAAAATATTAAGATATTATCAAGTATAAGTTTAAAATTTTTTTAAAGGTGGAAAGCTAGGAGGAAAAATGCTATTAAAAAAGAAATAGAAAATTACACTGTTTTTGTTTTACATATTTTTTCAAGACTTTTAATGAATTGAAAAAAAAAATTAAATACATTCATTATAATATTTGGAAGAAAGTTTTACAGAAAAATACTAGTATAATTATACATACATAGTTCAAAGTTCATAAAATTTAATTGGAGAAGAACGCATGGTTTGAAAAATTTTAAAATTTAAATATTTTTTTCCAAAAATTAATTAAATGGAAATTGAAAATTGATTTCAGAGTTTCCGAATAAAGTCTCTAATACCATTCATTAAGAAAAATGCACTTACTTTAATCGACAGCTAAACTTAGATTAAAATTTTAAACTAACACAACAGTTATTGAATCATAATTTTAATTGAATTAAATTTATGAAATTATCCCCAATATACCTTCTCAATACTCCACCCAATAAAGAAGCATTTAAACATTCTGGTGGTGATAGTCGCCTTTGTACTTCAGCTATTGTTACTTTGTATTTAGAAGTCGATGACAATAAACTAAGACGTCCAGGCACCGCACAAAATACTTCACTTGGTGCACCAGTTCCAATATTACTAACATCTTTACCACTTTTTATGCCTATAAATAAATAATAAAAATAAACAAAAACAATTAAGTGAAAGGCAAAGAAAATTTTAAAGAATTCATTAGCGTGTTAGTTTAACACTGAAAATATTATTCAATTTTTTTATTTTTTATTATTACAAGTTTTGGAAATATTCTGTTTTAGCAAACTGACAAGGGTCAGTTATTTTGGAATAATACCGTATCACACTTATTTTTTTTATTTTATACCAAAAATGGTTTTAGATTGAATTGTTAAATTCATTTTTTGTTAAATTCGATTTTCGGGAAACCAAAACTTTTATACAATAATTAACTGAATTTTTAATTTTTATACAAGTTCTGCAAATGTGATATGTTTCAAGAATTAATTATTTTCTAGTTTTTTCATTGACATTAATTGAAATTTTAAATATGAATACTATTGCCATCCAAACATTGTAAATAGAGTAAAAAACATAAAAGGATGTTAAATTAACCTCATTGATTCTGCAAATGTATCAGTTAGGTCAACAATTGTAATAAAGTAAGAAAAATAAAAATAAAATATCGAAATGAGAGAAAAAGAGAGGCTCAATCGTATTTTATTGTAGTGTGAGAATGCATCATAACTTAAAATATAGCCTTATGTACAAGTATATATAAGAATACTTTTTCTGCATTACTTCTTTTGTACCTATGCACATTTTTTGGTTTTTTTTTTATAATTTTTTTTATATTACGAAATTGGACTTATTGTAAGCAAACTTTTATACCATCAACACCACTAGGTATAATAAGCCAGCTTCAGTACGAATAAACAAGAAGGCATACAAACCAGGTGTGTTCTTTTTAACGCCTTGAAAAACTAAAAATCAACAAAGTAATAAGAAAAATTAAATAGAAAAAGAAGGATTTTGTACAAGAGATTCATCTTACAATTGTAAACTGTTGTTTGTTAAATGTTTGTATGAGATGCTACATGATTTTTTACTTTTAATTAAGTTGTGCTGTTATCGTTTTAGTTTTGTTTTTTTTTCTCCCGGTTTTAAAGAAAGAAGGTACTCAATTAAAAAAGACATCATATTACTAATGCTTATATAATGTGCACAGTAGTATTCTACAGAATTCTTTTCAGTTGATATTTGTTATGAATAAGAATTAATTTGACACCTCCTTTTTAAGAATAATAATATGTAAGGATCTTTTCAATATACTTATGAGTATACTCTCTAGTACCAAATAAGTAAAATAGTAAAATTTAACTGAGTTGAAAGCAAATATACTTTTACGATTTATCTACATAATATGTATAGTATGACTAAATATATATATAACTATAAAGAAAACTAATAATTGAAACGGAAGTTTTACTCTTATTTCCTTGGTAAAATAAAATATTTGTAAGACCGTGAAGTTGGTTATTCGCTTCCATAATCATAAAATTGTTGTTTATTTACAAATTATAATTTCCTGCAAAATTATGTTCTAAGTATTTTATTTTTGTATTAGACGATCGTTTACTAGAAGTATTTAGTGTAGCATCAATCAAATAAACGTCACTTAGCCAACAAATATGGGTTATTAGTTACTATAACTAAAATTGTCATCATTATAGATTGAAAGTAAAAGGGAAAGTAAGAGGAATTTTCATAAACACAATACTGCAAAACAATATTGTGATACATACGCAATATATTTTTAACAGTTGTATAAAAACTTTTGCTATTATGAATTTGCAGTATTGTGTTCATTAACAAAAAAAATTATTTATTTTGGGCCAAATAGAGGAAAATTCTTTTTCAGGGAAAATAAAAATTAAGAAAAACAAAAAAAGGAAACTGAAACAGAAAGAAATTTTGTTATTTTTAACTACAAAAATTAACAGGCGAATTTCTAAAAAATACTGTAAAAACTAGTAAGAAAAAGTACAGCTGATTTAACTGCGCTAGCCATATTTTAAATATTTTAAAATATCATGGCTATCACTAAATATTTAAAATATTTTACTAAATATTTTAAATATTGAGTGATAGTTTAACAATGTTTATGAACAAACTTGATTAGCAACATTTGTTTATGAACACAAATATAGCGCATTTATTGCTATATATCAAGATAAACTGCGTTTATGAAACGGCCTAATATCTTTATTAAAAATTAAACAACTCAAACCAAACATATACAACTATTGCGGGGCGAATTAATATAGTATAATGAAAAAAAGCGTAATAAACTGGTTGTATCCACCACAAGGTGATGAATAAAAACTATATCCGAAAACACCTTGCGGCAACGAAGAGACCTCAGGACCAAAAGTTGAAGCCTACTTTCATAAAGCAACCTACAATTTGCACCACGAAGCATCCAACCAATCTGCACCACGAAGAGCAGAGAATGAAGGAAATGACTTTATACAACCTCAATACGATTTACATTTGGAAATCTAATTCTAAAGATTTGGAAATCTAATTCTATTTTATTTAGGTTTATAAAGAATTTTAGTCTTACTTTTAATTAAGGGTAAATCTGACATGAAACCAACATTATCGTCCATTCCAGGATTTTGACCATCATCTACAGCATTTTGTAAAGCATGATGTAAAGCTAAAGGATCATGTTCTTGTCCTAATCGCCCACCATGTGATCCAGCACCACTTATTGCACTACTATAATCACCCCGTCTATCTGTGTAAGGAAAACCATGCGAAAGTTGTGTCTAGAAAAAGTAAAAATACAGATGAAAGCATTTTAAATTTATTAATTTGGATAAAGAAAACATTAAATAAATATTTTAATGGCAGTAGTTTACTTTGTATATATTTTAATTAGTAGTAAAATAATAAAATATAAGAGCATATTTTCAGTCAAAGGAAGACTTGAATATAGTTTACAATTATAATTAATATAACAAGAAGAGATGAAGTTGAGATCTTAATCGAATTAAAACTTTTTTACCACCAAGTTTAAATTTTATTTGAATTAACTTAAGAAAATTCGTAATCACACCTTCATATAGAGCCCCAACGTTCTTTTTTGAATGGTTACTTTTGAATATTGGAACATCCAAATTTATAGTTCTTTTTTCGAATAAACAGTCAAATATTCCAGAAATTTTGTGAAGTGAAATTCAAATTCTCTCAGAGTGCTTTTTTAAACAAGTACGATAATATGTACTCGTACGTACGTAATTTTTTTCTATTGTTTTTTTCGTGGTACAAATTCAATTTCAAAATTCTTGTATAGAAAAAAAATTGAAATTTATTAAAAAATTATTAAAAAGATAAATAAAAAAATGATAAAAATTCCAATATTTTTCAATAACCCAAAGGAATTTTTTCTCAAATTTTGTTTATTTTCTAATAAACCAATTATTCACTTGCATTGTAAAATTTGATAAGGATAATAATCTCTAGTTAAAAGGGAAAAATTTGAATAACTTTCTTTTAATATAAGATTGGGACTATCAGGAAAAAAATGTCAATACAGTCAGATATATTAAGTCAGTGTTTGTAAATATCGTTTATTTTTATTCCATACATCGTCAAAGAAACTATCGGGTTATCATTATTTTAGATATTCGTACTGCTTTATTAATGTAAATTGTTATAAGTAATTTAGTTTAATAAATTGCTGGAGTTCAAATTCTTTAATATTACGTGAAATTTGAATTTTATTAAATTATTAAATTAAGGTCATCATGGCGGGAAATTTTAAACGTTTTAAAAAAATAAGTTTTCAATAAGATTGCATTCGTATTGGTTTTCTTTATTTCATTAATTTGTGTTTAATTAGAAATTAGAAATGTGTTTATATAAAATAATTATGAAATAATTTTTAAATGTTAAAAATTTTTTACTAATACCCGAATATTATCTTTTGCGCATCAAAAATTCATTCCCGTTTCATTCATTGTTTCCGATGTATCGATGTTGACGATATGGCATTAGTCGGATGTGTTCAATTTTGCTATTGATCTTTTTTCTCAAATACATTTTTCTAGCATATTTACCAACAAATTTTTTGGAATTGTGAATTTTTAGTATTGAAATAAACAAAATATACGAATTCACTCTTGAAAGGATTTTCTTTTCAGAAATTTTTATTTTATCTTACGATTTTAAAAAATAAATGTTTTATGTTTTTAAATATTTACTTATTTTAGATTATGTTATGTAGTATTTATATGCATCACAATTTTAAATATCGAGTTTAAATCGTTGAAAATTCATCGATGTACTCGTAAATAATATATCGACATTCTAATATTATCATTCCAACCCTCTTTTCTTTTATAAACTAAAAATCTTAATAATGGTCAAATATTGGGTAAAAAGACGTTGAAAATCGAGAGAACAATAAATTTAGGGAATCATATTTGTTTAATTGTAAAATATTATAGAATTTTACATTGGTAATAAGGTTGTTACAAAATTGTTTAAGTATATAATCACAAATTGTTTAAGTATATTGTGTTTTAATTTGAAGTAAGAATCTTCTTTAAATATTTTAAATCTGTGCCTTTGTCATAATGCAGAGAAACAACTCATAGAGGTATATATATATTATATACATAAACATATTATATATTATTTTGCAATGCATCCTGCAAAATCCAGTACTTGTGAGCCCCACATAATTTAAAAATAATTGTTGTAATTGAAATTATAATTTTGAGAATATAAAGATCGTTTAATTAATATTTATTTTCTATTATTATTTTTTCTAAAAAAGACTTCAAATCTTTGATTACAAGAAACAACGGCCTAAGTCGAGTTTTGGTATTTTATTACAGGTTTTATTTTATTGCAGATTGATTCTTGGATTTTTTTTTATTTTTTTTAACATTGGAGTTTAATTGATATCCTGGCTAAGTATTTTTAAAATCATGGAAAAGTATACAGAAGAGGGGTCTGAAAAAAACTAATCCGTTCCTTCAAAATTCATTTCTCAAAACATTTTTTCGACTTAACTAGTAATTTTTTTTTAAACTATACATACTCGTGCTTATAAGCCCAATACAATAAATGTAAAATAAATGTAAAATTTGATTTTGTCAATTTATGAGCTGATTAAATTATATATCTGTGCGTTCGTCCATCCGCTTATACCCATCTCAATGACAGCTCAGGAATGTAATGAGCCACATTTACTTAATTTTCACAAAATGTTATAATAATGGCACGAAATAATTAGTTAAATGTGGATTTAGTCCAAATAGTGATTCGAGTAACTGCTATTTTACTTATGTCTTAGAACCTGAGGCTTACAATTTTAAAATTTTGAATGAACAATTCGGCAAAAAGACCAATGCGTAATAACAATAAAGTTGGGTCAAACCAATTTATATATATAATAATTGCATATATTTAGGATGAATGTTTTCAAAAGAGTAAAGAAAATTGGATTGAAAAAATTCTGTCTGGTAAAGTTTTTTTCGCATATTATTTTCTTAATTAATGGAACCATATAACAGTAATGCATTGGATTGACGTCATATTTACCGTTTCAAAAAAATAGTTGCCTAACCATGAAATTTTGAGAAATAAAAATTAAACAAAATTTTTCAAAAACCGTATCTCTAACGTGTTCGACATTTTTTGCTTTTTCGACGCGATACATTATCTTTTTTAACTTACTCATACATAATCTTCATATCACATCTGTACTGTTTGTCAGTTGCTTATATAAAAAACAACGACTATTTTAAAGAAAAATATAAGAAAGGCCTAGAACTTTGGAATGCAAATTTGAGTTTTGTAAAAGCAAGTTGAACAACAGTAAAAAAGTTTTAGAGGATGATGTAGCACATTGAAATAATTAATGAAAATATTGCAGAGCTCCAACACAAGTTGTGGACCACCATGTATAATGTTGACATACAAGAGTTATTAGTCGTTTACCGGCTTATCCATATACCAGAACATTTTTGTTTTTTGTTCGAACTTTAGGAATTCTTGTAAAAAATAAAAAAAAACTTTCAAATTATTTAACTGTGTCGATAAATAACGAAATTTTTTTAAATCTATTCATAAAAATACAATTAACATATACACACTTTTATCTACACATATACTTAATGTATTTAACATAAATCCTAAGACAAAAAATAAAAGAGCTTGGAGAAATTCCTAAGCAAAATCTTTTATAAATATTTTCATTCTTGTATAGCTCTTCCTTTTTGTTTTGTTGTCTAATTTTTATGATTTTGTACTTTCTTGATGTCTTTTAGCATAAGAAAATTATTATCCCTATAATTTCAATCTTTATTATTTTATAATACCGTCAGTATTGAATCAAAAATAATACTTTGGTTGAGTATATAAAAGAAAAAGGATTTATTAAAAAATAGTGGAGAAGTATTAAAAAACGAAAAAAAGGATAAGAGTATGTAGGTAAGTGAATTTAATGGTTTCGAAGAATTTTTGCGAGGAAAATAAGATGAAATAAAGAGCAAAAATTGTTTTGAAACTAAAAATTCTTTCTTAAATACTAAAAAAAAATTTTGATGTATTCAAGCATTCAAAAAAAAAAGTTAAACAAAATATTTAAGAAAAACAAAACAGACAGAATTTTCCTAGAATGAAAAAAAAAGAAGTAAAAAAGCTACTCATAACAAAAGGTTTTTTTCAACAAACAGAAATAGTTTCGAAAATTTTAAGTTTCTTTTAGGTTTTTCTTGCAAAAAATTAAAAAGTTATGAAAGCAATCAATAAACATGTTAAAAATATACATACAAATTTGTAACGAGTAAAAATATAAAGTACAAAAATAAATAATTAATTGTTAGCTGTACTTGTGTGATTGAATTAAAAATAATGTCAAATGAGGCAATTTGTCGAAACGAATTATTTAATTGTGTTAAAAAATTGAATCAGGACTATTCAAATGTTCATATTGTTTTATGAGCAACTTTGCAAAACTTTATTTTAATTTTAGTTATAATATGTTTTTAAGATTTATTGGAATTTGTCACATATTGTTTACTCTTCTCAAAGTTTTGTGTATTCGGATATCTGTCAGAAAGTAACACGTTATTAAGGAAATAATTTTCAAATGCAATTATTTTCTGTTATTAAAAATTTTTATTTTGTTTTCCGAAAAACTATTCTATAACTTATGTACATATACGTATACATAGCTTTCAAATATTATTATGACATGCTAGTTGAACTTGGCTAAGAAGAATTTAAATCAAGGAGCCAAAACATTAATTGAACTGAGGAATTTTACTTATCGAGTTGTAGTACCAAGAACTCCAAAAAAAATCTATTTTGGTTTAACTGTAATAAAATAATATCAAAAATCGGTTTCGAAATTGCTGAAACCTCATATAAATCATATGTTGTATAAAGCTATCAGGTATATAAAGGTAATTTTAAAAATTTTTGAATTAGCTTAATTGTTACTAAATTTTTATTAAGAAATTGTCGTTAAAAACTGAAATCTAAGGTTATTTTATTTTTTTTGTAATATTAATTAGTTAAAATTCAAAACAAAATATATTTTAAAAATATATATATATACTTACTTGGTGAAAACTTTCGGTTTGAGCTAAGGCTATGAAATTTTTACAATCCGCCAGCTACAATAAAAACAAGAAGAGATTCAATTAAATTTTGTAGACAATAGCAATATAAAAGTTTGAATTTATTTTTAAAATGTTTAAAAAGAAAGCTAGCGCTTAAGTTTTTAATTGAGATTAGTAATATATCAAGATATTTTTAATCACTTATTTGCAAATTCGATTGAAATTCATGTGTTTTACACATAAAGACATTTTTGTATATTTTGCATTTAAAATAATATAAATCTTACCCAGCTTCCTAAAGAAGATAAGTTGAAAATAGCAAGTTACGTGATCGAGTAATAATAAGTCACAGTTAATAATTCATCTTACTTAGTTGTATATTAGAAAAAATTATGTTTAATGTATTACTCTACGACTGAGTAAATTCATTACTGTCACAAGCAATTTTTATTCTCCTCTGGAGTTATTTCAGAATTTTCTTATTTTCACGATTTTTTTTTATATTTAATAGAAACTATATTAATGTTAATGCTATATGCAACTATATCAATGTTATCTTTTTTTTAATTATTACTGTTAGTTAACCTTCTAATTTATATTAAAATGCGAAATTTCAATTAAGGCGAGTAAATTTTATTCTGTTGTGGTGTAAATTCTGTGAGAAACATGTTTAAAATACTCCATTTGCTGTATTTATTCGGAGGTCATATAATTTAAAATTTTACATGGTATAACATAAAAAATATTCTTCTTTATTTTTCTTGTTACAAAACTTATTGTAGCTTTTATGCACAATACACCTTAGGAAAGGTATGTTAGCTTTGGCATTTTGCAGTATAAAGATGTACATACGTTACATATGTGCTAAGGTCGATTGAATCGTTTTTACTTGCTTTATATTTTGTTTTGAAAGTATCAAGAGAAAATATTAAAACCGGGATTTGAGGTTTTTTGAATCCATCGAAAATTCAAAAAAATATTTAGTAAGTCAAATTTTTAATTTGACTACGAAGTTCATCACAAAAGATCTGGTAGGGTAGGACGTTTAATTTAAAGTTTAGATCGCTTCTGTAAACTGATATTTATATCTTTTGCTAAAAAATAATATTAGGACCTTAAATAGGAATGAATAATTATAATGTACAATAAGTAATTTTAAACTATACGGGAATGGGTGGATGAAATGGATATTCTCGGTAATTTTATATATTATTTGGCATTCTATAAAATATCGTACTTAGTGGCAATGTTTTATATATTTTTTAATTATATACAAAGCTGCATATTTCATTAATTTTTTTGAATGTGTCGAAAATTTTGACATTCTTAAATATGTATTTCGAAATGACCAATTTATTTGTAAAGATACGTAACTATATATTAAAATAATAATTATTATTTGGAATTTAGAAAACCAGTTCTGTAAGTTCGTTAAAGTGGAAATGAAAAATGCGTATGTACCTTTAGGTGAATATTGATGTAAATGTATGTTTGTGTGTATGTATGTATATATGCACGTTAGTTAAAAAAGAAGCAATGCTAATTACAATCTAATTGCCTTAATATTATTATAATGAATCAAGTAGATTACAATAATTCAACATTGATTTTGAACAATGTAAAAATATTACTACGTAGTTGCTCCTAAGTATATGCAAATCCGGTTATTTAACATGGTAAATAGCAAAATGAGTTTGTACTACGCGCGTTAATTTTTGACTATTATTTAAAATTACATTTATTCTTTAGTGAAAGTGTGGTTATATTAATTTCTTATTTAAGATTTCGAATTTTTTTTTGTTCTGCTATATTTTTAAACTGACATTAAGTTGAATTTAATGCCACGTGCTCTATACAACTTGTTACAACAGGACAGGTACTAGTAAATTTGTGATTATCGGAATGATTAACAAAAAAAAGTATGAAAAAGAACTTACAAAGAAATGAAATTTTGGATTTTTCTTTTCTAAACAATCGTAATAAAAATCGACTTTTTTCTATTATTGATTTCAGCCTTTTCTCATTTCCATAGGTTAATATTGCCGCAATTGGATTTTGGAGTTTTTTTCTTCTCTTTCCTCAAATTTGTTTTTTTTTCTTTTTAGTGTTAATATATTGATCTGTAGACCACGAATGAATAATTACTTAACGTTTTATTGTGGCTACAATTGATAGCAGCAGCACTTAGTTTTTAAAAAGTCATTATAATTTACAAAAAAAAAGGCGAGGAGATATACAATAAAAAACTCATTAATATCTTAAAGGTTATTTTAATTCCCTACATATTTCAATTGTACATCCTAATTCTTATTTTTCACTTTACGAAAATATTGAAAATGTGTTATAAAATAAAAATTTGGATGAGAATTTTGTAAGCCTCAAAGTGTGTTATTAATATCGGTGTTATTATAGCGAAAATGGTCATTTGGTCGGTTTAAAATTTAACCTAAAAAATTATCCGTAAAAGCAGTTAGTAACAGTTTCATAACTAGAAAGGAAGGTTAAATAAAATTCATTGAAAATTAGGAACTTTCGAAAAAAAAACGTTCAGTTGGGTATGCGTAAACCATTAAAATTACGGTTCGGACTCTCAAATTTGGAGTTGAGATATAAAGAAATGTGAAACTGCATAATATAGTATCATAAAAACTAAGACTTTGCAGTTTACGAAATTGATTTGTAAGAGAGATAAAAAATAGAACGAGATTATATCATTTTTTCAATGATTTTGTTGATACAGTCTTTAGTGTTGTGTCAACCGTTAGGCAGATCTTTGACAGTAATTGCAATATATAACTACGTATAATAATAACGTGCTATAGTCAACCTGCTTAACTGATCTGCAGGGACTTTTTAATTAAACTGGTTTTTTCAATAGTTCATTGCAATACAAAAAAGGCATTAATAACCGATATAGTTGTGTAAAAAATAATAAAAAGTTAGTTCTTAAAGACATTTTAAATTTTAAAACCAACTAAACGTTTAGTAGAAGCTTAAAAAGCTGTAGTAAACTCTTAAAAAACCACAAGTCGCTTGATAACATACACACTTAGGTAGCGTAATGAGTATTTTAATAATAATTTATTTGAAGAATTAATATCCTCTGATTACGACATGCATAGTATAAGAACACGAAACCGTGTGTCATTCACCAACAATATAAGCATCAAATTTTAGAAAAAGTACATAAAAATGAATTAAATGAATACAAATGTGTGAAAACTACTAACAACAGATAAGTTACTATATCTCGTTAATCAATATATTTTCAAGCTATTTGCTGTATCTAATGTTGGCGCAACTGTGTTACATTTGAAGGACTTACTGTTGTCGCTGCTATAACCGAAATTATTTTATGTGTTAATTTATTATTAACTGCAGGTTAAAGCAGTCCGGTACATTGGATGTTGAAAAAATTTAGTTATTGTCATTAAAAAAGAATGTGAAAGAAGAAGCTGGTTAAAGCTCAAGCAATAAATTATATTTTATAAAATTCCTAAAATTTTTTTTGATCAATTTCACTTCATAATTTTATTGCATAAGTTCAAAATAAGTTTATGTTGCTATCCTAATATTAACAAGTAATTTACATGTAAATTTTTTGTTTTAAAATAATTTCTTTTCATATTGTGTTTTTGTAGAGCTTAAAAAAAAAAACAGATTATTAAGATCCGTTATCATATTGCATACCAGAAAATTTAGGAATTAGATAAATAGGCAGCACGTACCAAAAAAATAAAAAATATCATTGGATTAAGACGATATGGAGAACAAAAAGAATAAACTTAATAAAGCTAACTGAATCGGAATTCATTTTTTGAGAAGGAGGGAGAAAACTGCGCTGTGATCTAATTGTAATCGCGAATAGATAATTAAAAAATCAAATTCAAACTTTTTTCTCCATTGTTGAAATATTGTTTGGAATTTATTCTCTAAGATAATATTTTACTTTTTGTTTTTTTTTTATTAATGCTTTTTGAACAAAGTGTGTATAATGTTTAAAAATGTTAAAAAAATATTGAAACATTTTTAATCCATTGTCGAAAACCAACAAACAAAAAAATAAAATCGTACCGGTATGAACATTTCTTGAATTTTTATAAAAAGAGGTACAGTTTTGGGGAAGTACTTTGAAATTTTGAAAACATTTCTTTTATTTTAATTTTCAAAGCGATTACAGAGTGGAAGGGAGGGAAGGAATGAAAACTTTCAATACATGAATTTCGAATTAAGTTAAATAGATATCAATAATAATGGTCGTAAATAATAGTATGTAAAATGAAAAAATGTAGATTCCCAATTACTGCATTCAATTGATTAGATTTATGTTATTTTCTGCTATTTTTTTTTGATTGCCATTGTAATTTTTGATTTTTTTCTATTTTAGGTTTTCAGATCAATTTTTTTATCAAAAAAATAACACAAATGTTGTATGCCTTCTGTAGATACTGTAATTGTAAAGCAAATAAAATAATGGAGAAATGTAGCGCAATCACTGCTGCTATAAAAAAATTGACCGATAATAATGGGATTAAAGTAGTTATAACATTAAAAAAGAGATACTTTTTTTTATAAGTTGTACTTTATACTGTTATAAAGTGTAGAATTGCGTATCAGTGGGTTCCACAAAAGTTAAAAAAAGTGTTAAGGTGGAGTCTTTTTGTTCAAAGCACACGTATGTATGTTTTTGATATATCGATGTATGAAATAATAATTTTATTTAGAAAAAATTGATAAATCGAAAAAATAATAACGCTTTATGTTTGTTGTTGTGATTTTGTTTTTTGGTTCTTTTTTTTTGGATTACAAGATTCGGATAAAAATGAACATTTTTGCTGTAATCAAGCAAACAGCAAACATAAAATAAATAAAGTTGGGTCAAACCAATGGTTTGTATTGTAGCACTTTTCCCTTCAACAAGTGAAAATTCTGCTTTTAAATACAGTCTATGTGTACCTACCAAACTATTAAAATTATTTTCATTCATATATAAAACTATTTCTAGGATTGCATATATTTAGGATGACGCATATATGCAGTCTTTGAAATAAAGCAAAAATTAATATAAAAATGGGTTAACATAATGCTCAATTTTAAGGGTTAGTTGTGTGAGTTCAGAAAAATAATTATATTTTTTTAATTCATGGAATTTACCGTTAGCTTTTTGCGTTTATAAAAATTTGAAAAAACTTGCGGTTTCGGAAATATAAGGCATCAAAAATTCAAATTTTACGAATTTCAAGAGGCGATAGCTTGAGAGGGGGTGGAGATGGAAAAAAATTTTCTTCTAACGAAATAAACTATTTGTTAATGTCTAAAAGGCCCTAAAATTTCAAAGCTCTACATTATGGGGTCTAGAAGAAAAACGACATCAAAAATTTGGAAAAAAAGAACTTTAGATAACGGTAAATTTGAACGGCCATTTTGTTTTTTTAAAATTTAACTACAGTATACCGCGCTAGGGGAAGCAAGCCACTGCCTTTCTGCGTTTGAAAAATTTTAAAAATGCTTATAGTTTCATTGCAACAAATATTTAAAAAAGGCCATTTTTAGGGCTTTGGGGGGGTATAACTTCTAGAGGGGGGGAGATAGGTAAAAATTTTGTTCTACGGGAATAAGTTTTTAGTGAAGATCTATGTACGTATGAAATTTTAGCTTTCTATCTTCAAGGGTGTAGAAGTTTTGTAAACAAAAAAAGTGTCCACGGACGGACGGACGGACGGACAGAGTGAAACTAATAAGCACTTTTTTCAAAAAATTTTTTGGAAAAGTGCTAAAAACAAAACGAAAAATATATTACGAATAATAAAAGCCCTATAAAATCATAAAAAAAGAGGTCGTGTTCAAATTATTTAGAAGAGTTCCTTTCTAAGAAAATGATACGTAGATATTTACCATATGCATTTCCGCACATACTTTACAATATGCATTTGGAGCTTTAAACACTCATATGTTAAGTAAATCTGATTTCACTAAAAGTGGATTTAACTAAAATTGGTACTGCGATTTGAGAATCGATTTTAATTTTTTAAAAATGTTAGAATCGATTAATTTTTTTTCATATTTTTCAAAACATAAAAGAGCTACCATATTTGAAATATTTTAAAACAACGACCTTTGCTTTGCTTTGAGTTTGGGACAAAAAAAGGTGGTTTTTTTTGAAACAATAATATTTTACTTTTTTATTTGATATTGTTAAAATTTAAAATGGCTGTACTCGTACAAAGTTTTATTTATCAGAATAAATAAATAAATTTTTGTCAGGTCATCTAATTGAAGCAATATTTTTTAAAGAGTAAATACTTAAATCAAATAAATTTTTTGATAATTGCTCTTTTCGGGTCTAGAATACGCCTTCCACTCTTTTTTAGTTATAATGGAAAGTTGATTTAATGAGAAGTCCAAAACGAAGTTTTAATAATCGAAAGAATTACATTTTAACGTGTATGTCAACATGTCCTTAGAAAAATATGAAAATTTACGAACTTACCACATGTCCTTGAAGCTCAGCTTCTCTATGTGACCTATGAATACCCAATTGATCTTGTGTTGATCTTAATCCAGCTAATTGGTTATAATGATGTAAAGGTGCGTGATGTAATGATGATAATGGTTGACCATAAGGATCTGTACCTAAATATTCAAGGGCTCCGTGGTTCTGTAAATATCGAAGAAAATAGATATAATATATTAAATTGGTAAGAAAAAATTCTTAAAGTGCAGTAGACAATGTTAAATTTTTCACACAAATATGGGGACAAAGTGTGCAAAATTATTCTTGACAAATTTACCAAATATAATATTAACAATTATTTTGCAAATTTACAAAATATTTATACGTACTAAATAATTATGGAAAAAAATTAAAAGTTCATAGAATTTCATATTAATTCATACAACTTGTTTCGATAATCTAGATTATTTTAACAATTTATTCCAATATTAAATATGAATTTCGCTTAACTGATTATCAAAAATAAAAATTTTAAAATATGTCTAATGATTGTGTATTGAATTAAGCAAAAATTAATTCGCAAATTTCTGTAAATTATCAAAAAATTATTAACAACCATTGTTTGTAAGATAGCTAACCTGTTGTTGTGGCGGACTTTGTGTAGCATGGTGAAATGGTGGCGGAAAATATGGTGGTTGAAAATCGGATTGTAATGACTGATGGTGCATTGAAGCTGCCGAACTATGTGAACCACTATGTCCACCATGACCACCGGTTGGGCCACCACGACCACTGTGCCCACCTGAGTGTGTTGTATATGCCGGACTGCCACTTGACAGTCCTATACTACCATGACTAGTCAGGCGTTCCTGAAATCAAAAAAATAAACAAGTTAGTTGATTATAGCTCAAGTTTTGCTTTTTCAAAATTAATTTTTTAATATATTTTAATATAGGATTATTTATGTACATATGCATATAATTATAAACTATTATCATAAGTACTTATGATAACAAACTTCATAATTATATTTATTATGATTATATTTATTATTAATTATATTTCATAAGTTTGATCATAAAATATTTGTGAATTTGTATTTAAATTATAAATCATATTCATTTAAACATAATATTACAAAATCTAACCTATTAAATCAAGGGTTTTTGGTATCAGTAAAAAAAGGAAATAAAGACCATTATTTAGTTTCTCTAAGGAGATCTTTTTAGATTAAAATTTTTAAATATGATTGTATAATTATTCCATTTATAAGCGAAAATTAAGGTAAAATACAAAAATATTGGAAATATTGAAAATTTTAACGGAATTTATTTAAACGCTTCAGTTGTACGTAAAAATAAATAATCCTGTTCAACATAAGGTACTTAAAACTTAAAGTTTTGAAATATTTCCAGTTTTTTTTTGTAAAAATAAATCAGTTTAAAAAAATTCCCAAAAGAATGGCCGTCGGTTTTTCACATTTTTGAATATAGGTTTCGCAGGATGATTAAGTTTCATCATAAGCTTCAATCATAAGATCAACGGGAAAAGGAAGTGTTTGAAAAAATATGATTCTTCATTGCTTGTTATATGTTACATTATTAAATATTTGTTTGTTAATTTTCTTTTGATAGAATTATTGAAACGCTTTATAATTATTTTCATTCAAATGGTCAACCTTAAAATTAATACAAACTTGCTAAGTCATAAAAACTTTAGAGAAAATAAAATTATTTTTGAAATGCAATTTTCAATTTAATTTTAATTGTTGTAATTTGCGGAAAATAAAGCGCGAATGGGGTGCATGAGTCTATGGTTATATAGTTTAATAAATTTGAAAAGTACTATATATTTATAGTTTTAAATTGGCCAAATAGTTTGATTTTTTAAGATATAGGTACAAGTTTCTTCAGTTACAAGTTTTTAACTTCAGTTTACAAATTTTTAAATACTAATTTTTGATACTTGAACTTCTGGTTTTGAATCATGTTCATGAAATCAATTAAAATTAATTAAGTCTGAAATAACTTCTAGCAAAAACACGTTAAATTGAATATTTATACTGTGAAATCATACAATTTTTCAAAGGTAACAACTAAATAATAATGTGATCCTCTCAAATATTAGGAATTACAAGGAAGTTCCAAGTTATAAGGAATTTCAACTTAAAATATAGCTTTTTTATGATTTCTAATAAAATAATAATAAAGTAGATTGCAGATTATTTTGATTTAGGTAAATGCTTTCGCATCTTAAACATTGTCATATTTTAAAATTACAGAGAGATGTAATGAAAAAATTCAATTGCAATGGAAAAATTCCAACTTTGTGATTCCGTGACATGAAAACATAGCGATCCCTGTAATATTAAGATATTGTTCATCAATAAAGGTAGATCTTACGTCAAAATGACTTATTGAGTATAATTAAAAGTGAATTACTGGATAAGTCTAGCTGGCCGTATAAATGTCCTATTTTATTGATTTTTGCGAATATTGTTTTAAAACTATGTAAGTTTAAAGTTATACCAAGAATTTTTAATAAGACATAAATCATATATTTTAACAAAAATAAGAGAGATTATCTACCAAAAAGCAGGTTCCCCGACAAATTAATTGACTTTTTCAGCAAAAGTTTTGATTATTACTAAAGATAAATTAACCATGAATTTAGGCATTTCTCTAAAATTTTAAACATCTTTTCAACAACGTTACCTGAGTATCAATGACTGTCGGCATATCCACATAGGCCAGAGTCATAATAAATTAAATCCTAGATAATCTCTTGAGCGATTAAAGTATTCCTCAAATTTGAATAGGTGTTCAATAATTAACTTTTCTTTGTTTTGAAATTTTCACAGCATTATTGATAATTATTATATAAATAAAAAATTTTTTTTTTTTCAAAAATTATTTTAATTGTAAAATTATATATTTTAGATATTTTCAAAAATTCAAAAATACTTTTATTTATTAATTTCATATTTATTTATTCAATTCTTTTATGAAAAAAAAAACATTATTTTCCCGTCGGGAATTCACAATTAATTTTACATTATTTAATTGATCTTGCAATTTTTTCCATTTTGAATTTTAACTATCGAAAAATTCATGTTATGTTAACAATATTGTAAATATATTTAAAAAATATTGTATACATATATCCTTTCTTTTACTGTACGTTTTCCGAAAACCGTTATATGTATTTAAATATGTATAAACAATCTTGTAATTTTTCCAGTTCAACTTATAAAGATAAAAGAATAATCATTATTTTACATTACGAAAAAGCGAAACACACCACATTCAATTTTGAAATTAAATAAAAAAATCGCAAATGGTTTTCTACCAATGGTTGTTCGTTAACTACTAACTGAACCGTCGATCAAAAATATACGGTTGCCATCTTAGACTTTTAACTATTAAAAAATAAAAAAAAAAAACAATAAAAGAAGAAAGAAGAAAAAATAACAATAACATAATGTGTACACACCACGTTTTTATCTAACAGAGTACAATCATTTCATGCTGAATAGATTGGATAGGAGTGAGCAAGACAAAGATATTATTTTTTCTCAGTTTCTAAGATACTTATAATATAACTGAGTTGAGTTGGTACAAGATATACATAGGTAGGTAATAGGAGTGTGTATAAATGAAAAAAAAAGTGCGCACTTATATATGAAAGTGAGTAATATGCCTTTTTTCTAAATTATCCAGTATGTAAAAAATACTAGAGTAGTGAAAACGCGTTGTCACTAAATTCATACATACATAAGTGAAAATTTATCAGAAAAAAGAAAAAATACCAGGACCTTCACTATTTTGCTAATATTTTTTATAAAAATAACGACCAAATTTTTATAATAAAATTTCAATAAAATCTCATTTACATAAATTTCAGTAAAATGTATGTACTCGTATCTATGTAACTATACAATAAAAATTGATTCTTATAATAATTATGCAGACTATTGAAATATGTACATATATGTGAACACACATTCATACAAGCTATAGGGATCTGTGAGTAAAATGCTAACAATTATTATATATACATATATGTATTTCTTTGTGCTGTCTGTTTGGCAGTTTGTAACTTTTTTACGCGAATTCTTATCACTCACTCTCAGCAATGTCGTAATTAATTCAAGTGTTTTTTTCTTCGAAAATGGACGTTGTAATCATGTAAATTGTATAGTACATTGAACATGAATGTGCACACATATATGTACGTATGTACTTTAAAACTTCAGTTGTTTCATTCACGTTTTTTGCTTTGTTCAAAATTTACACAACAGATCCATAGGTAATACGCTGCATAAAATATATCTACGTTGTTTCTCTCTTTTAAAGGGTGAACACACACACATTGTATATGTTTTCAAAGTAAATGTTTAGAAAGATTTGTTGATAATTTTGATACATGTATGAATCAACAAAACAAAAATAAAAAAAACATAATATGTATATACATACCTAGATGGTTATTGGCAATGAATTGCGCGGATCATAAATGAATCAACAAAAAAGCTAAATACATACGCACAGATTCATTGTGTATAATTATATGTTTGTAATCTTGTTTTATATGAAAAATTAAAAAATCTGTTGTTTTGTACTAATAAAAATAGATAACTTGTTAGTACAGACATACGAAATTTTCGCTGTGTGTAAGCTTTACATTAATATTTTTTTTATAAAAACATAACTTATATATGTATCCACCTTTTAATTACATACATATACATTACATGTGCTTGTTGGGTTTCTTAGAATTTGTATGGATCAAAACTAAAAGAGAGAGTAGTAATATATAGCTATTATGAATACACATGCATATTATGTACATATGTATATAGATTTATGTTTATATTATGTATATTAAATAATAGAATTAAAATATAAATTTTTCTGGTCTGTTCAATTTCAAATTTTTATATAGAGAAATTTTGTTTAGTTAAAAGTTAACTTTTCCAAAGTGGTGTACATATTTACATTTTAAATTTAAAGATATACCTACTTTGGTATTAACAAATACGCACAAACGTAGATACAATATGTGTTTATATTCATCCATATGTACATACATATGTACGTATTTAAGTATGAACATGTATAATGAGGCAAAAAAATAATATGTACCAAATTATATGGAAGTTTTCAATATATACAGTTTTACCTTATTACTATGCATTTGCATCCATATATGTATTTATATGTACATTTTACATACTATATTATGTATGTATTGCAAATTAATAAAATATTGATGGACAGATGAATGAAAAGCTTGGTTAAAGATTTACATAACACATACTTATATGCTTGTGTGTAATGTGTTGTTAGAATAAAAAAATTATTAATAAAGGTTTTAATAAATTAATAACTTAGCCGTAAAAAAAGCTAATTCAGGTACTTTGTTACTAGACTAGTATTCGTGAACTTGTAAAATTTTATAAGTTTCTTCCTTTTTTAATCACTGCTTTGGTTAATTTTCCTTAAATTTAACCAATATTTTTACCGATCATCTTGCATGCAATAAGGGAGTTTATGTGATGGCACCAAATTTTGGATGTCGAGTTTTTGGTTGGAAGGCACTTGATAGTAGAAGTGTGTTCAAGCGTGTATGGAGTAGACTAAACTTGACGGCTAGAGCGATTTTAATAAAATTTAACTAAATTAAAATCAACTTTTGGGATATGACAGGCCTCGGGAACTGTACTTTTTCCGGGACGATGTAACATTTTTCCGAATACAAAAAAATAATGAACCAATTACTTTAAATTTTATATTTAAATTTTGATGAACTTATAAATTTTTTGAAAAAGATTCATGCTTGCAAACCGATTAATCATTATATATAAGGT